TTGTTTGTAGGTTTTTAATTGGGTAGGGTTGTAACACGTGTTTGTGTATGTGTGGCAAGGATATGTTGCTAAAAATCCCGGGTGGTCACCCATCCGGGAGCTAGCAACTGCGGCCGGTACGTACGCTCAGTGCGTTTCCGCAGATTGAGGGTACGACCGCGCCTCACCAAGCCACAAAATAAAATATKACCTGCCTCTCAAAGACATTATATTGTTGGGAGTGGCAATAGTGCTGCTGTTTTTCTGTTATGCAGATGGTATCTCTTAATAATTTTTCGTATTCTGAAATTTCTACTCTTGTGTTTTTCAGTCATCTTGACGTAACCAGGATTAACAATTAGAACTTAGAACAATAGTTAGATATATGCATGATGCTACGTCGAGTACGTCGATATAATTTTTGAGTCGTATATGAGTATAATTTAAATGTAATCCAATATTTCTAATATACTATGAAATCAATACTATWTAATAATGTGATATTTATCAAAACATTAGTAAAATTATTATATAAATATTTAATCCAAATATAATAAGTATGTCATTTTTGATTTTTATATCGTAAACTTTTGAAACTACGATGTTTCTCAAAAAATTGTAGTAAACAGGAAAAATTAATGTTTTTCTGAACTGGTTGTACATCTCACTTTAAACTTAAATCAAACATTGAACATTTTTACATTAGAAAAGGAAGAAGAAAAACGTTAAAAATTGAGTTCTAAATATTTTTTTGGATTTTTAATGTGGATTGTCCAGTATTTAATATACTGTCATTGAAATGTAGCCTAGATGTACTTAATTTTTACCTTGATTACAAAACGAGTTTGAAAAATTTAGTTGTAATTTTTCTTTAATTTTCTTTWTCAAATATAAAATATAAAATAAACTTTAACGATGATTAATAAAAGCTTATAAAAGCCATACAGCCTCAGTCGCTCGCGACTCACACTATATGTCAATGTAGTAAGTCGTTACACATAAAATGATGATTAGTATTTATTGACTTCTATTAAACATAAATAATAATAAACATATTATGTTGTTCTAATTGTTTTTATTTCAATATAACTAGTATTGTTCAGTAATATAAAATAAAATAAATAATTTTAACGTTATTATACTATTATTATATTCTTTGCTTTTTTTTCTCCTATTCTGTATACTCAATATTATGACCTAATATCATATAGTTAATTTAACTACGATGTATATAATATAATTGTCGGACTGAAATAAAGCTAATAAAAAAAAAAAAATGTTTTCATGAAAGATTCAAAAATAGGATCATATAACGTCCCTGATAATACAAATAATTACTACTATTTAAAAGTTGAATACTAGGCCTACTCGCTATGCACACAATGCTGTAGTACTGTCTCATTGCTGGGTTTGCATCATCTATCATAGTTTTTAATTGTATACAATTAAGTAGTTCGTATATATTATATTCGTTATGTGAATATATATGGATGTCGTGTATCTATAAAAAACGTCAAAAACACAAATTGTTTTGATATTTATTATTTTGATAAGGACAATCTACAATGGTCGGTGGTAATTTTAAAAGTAACAACAACAAAAGTGGTGATTTTTTAAGTTTAGTTTTATAATTTTTGTAGAAAAAGTAACTCACCATATATTGTCAAAAATTGAATAAACTATATGATTTTATAACATTTTAGGCTAACTTTTAATTTAGCTGATAATTTTTCATAAATAAAAAAACAATAATTCGGTAAAGATTTAAGAACTTGTTAATATATAATTTATATACATATTAAAATAGTATATACAATATACAATACCCATGTCCCATACCTATAAAACTTCTTACCTAGGAAACACAATATTATTTGGTCAAACTTCAAATGATTTTTGTAGTTTGGACTTTTACAACTTTTACAAACGGATTTGGTAAATGTTAGGATAAACAATCAGTGTAAGTAAAAGTCCGAAATTTTGTATTAATAATTATTATTGTTGAAGTTCATTAGGTATTACATTAATGGCTAGTATATAGTATATTAGGTAGTAGATACACACATTTATATTATTACTATATATTATGATCACAAGACACAAATTTATATTATTATTACRTATTACTGCGGTGTTAGTTAATTATTTTATCATTATTATTGTTAATATAKTAATTTACATTTTACTGCAAAAATTAAAACTATCCAGCAAGTGATATTTTACTAATATTATCTGCTATAAAAACGAAGTCACTATATTATAATATTATTTATATATATTATTGCCCAGTATGAATAAACKCTGTCTAAACTACGCGTTTAATCGAATGTTTGGCTACAATTATTAATCACGCGCGGTCAGTTGCAGACGCTGACGGATTTTATCTCCTTGGTTTTCATAGTGTTTAAAAGTATAATAATATTATGGTCTAATTTAAAATAGTCTGATTAATTACGAGCAAATKTTCGTGCTTTATGKTGATTTGAGATCAAGAGTATGTACTCCAAAGCTCAAGTTAATGAACTAACTGTGTAGATATAGGTTCCGCATCGTAATAAATAATAACAGTTTATAAAATATAAATAATAATAAATTAGCATTGGTCCTTTATCTTATCGTCCCTTAATAATGAAAAATATATAGTTATAAGTCAGTGGTCTGGGATGCGTTGTTGTCTTCATTTAAGGCTCGAAAACATATTTAAGACACCCCATGACGTATTGTCTAATCAATTTTCAGTCATTAAATACATGACGTGTATATTACTCGTACAAGCAGTTTGTAAGATCAAAAATTAAAAACGTAATGGGTGGCTAGCTGACAAAAAAGGTTGCGAAGACTCTTGGGCCTTGATTAGGTTATTGATAGTTATCTATACATAAAAATCATAATAATTAAACATCGATAATATTTGTGAATCGCTACTTTTTATGAATTGTACACTTAAATCATAAYACACGATGAGCTCGATGAGCGTTAGTTAGGTTATAATTTATTGTTTTTGTTTTTTTTTCTGGMAAAGCCAGACAATACAACTACTACTGGTATTAATGTATTAATGTGTATTGTRTACGAACACCAGAATGAAAATAAAATAGCGATTCATTCAACAGCGTAGTATACTAAAATAAATGTTCTGCAAGTGAGTTTGCAGATATTTTACTAGAATTTGAGTAATTCGACTGATTTGAGAAAAACCGCCATAACTTACATAAATACACACACACACACACATTCTCATTGATAAAATCGAATAGTGTAGAAAATATAATGAATGGGATTCATCCGACAAGAGTATATAACTATTATAGTAAACGAGATTAAATGCAACATGTCCTATACACCTATGAACAACTATATGTAKTTTCAACAAGAGAGTGCTCGGACTCGCTGAAAAACGTTTTAAAATCGCAGACTACTGGGATATTATATTTTACAAATTATTCATAATAATATCCCAAATTGTCGSACTATCGCCGAYCGGAGTACATAGTACGTAATATAAGCCACGACRTTGAAAAATAAGTAATGACTAATAAATATAAAAATAAAAATATATGTTTATATTACGTGCGTCGATTGCAGCTATATACAATATTTCCATGGCGGTGGTGCATTCGTTCGATGTTCGATTTCGATGCACGACACTTATTATAGGCAAGGTCAAATAAAATTAGGAGTTGAAACCCAATTTATTTGAGAGAGGTGCTGCGAGTGAAAATTTCAGTGAAATTCATCGCGGCGGTGATAAATCAAATACAACTGGGTAGACGACTCACGTGGAATGGTCTTCTACTCTTCGTATATTGTGCATTTGTGCATTTACCTACCGTATAGATGTTGTACGACATGTACGTACACATGTTTGTTACAAATTATAACTTCAAACCATTATCCTTTAACACTCCGATCGGTTGGTCACTATTACCGACTTTGCGACGATGTGATTGATTTTTATCGTCTACTGTAATATTACTCGCATTATTTCCGATCTGCACAAAGATCATAATTTACGATAGTTTCAGGAATAGTAAAACAAATTAATTAATTGCGGAATATAAAAATAAACTTTTAATAGTGTGACAACTTTTAAAAATACACTTGTCTTGAATGCCGAGATAAGGTTTACTTTAGTCGCAATAGGGTGCAAAACCTAAACTATTAACTATATTCATTTTTATTATTTTGTAATGTAAATTAATTGTACAATATTTATATACTAGCAATACAATGATTAAATTAAATTAATGATTAAATGTAAACCACAAAATACTAAATACATGTAGAAATGTAGTCACCAGTGGCAAATTTAGATGCTTTGCGACGTCCCTTCATAAGTGTAAGTAAAATTAATCAATTAGTTGCTTGTAAATCCATTTGATACAGATTTCTAGTGACTGTAAAGTACTATAAGTCTTTTTGACTTGAACATTGTCCAAGGTACGTTCACCGTTCACCGTTCACGTAAYACGTACACATTTCTTACAACATTTGACCAACGCTTTATTGACAACCCTAAAACGATGGCTATCGCACCCTTCGTCACCCACCCCCGCGAGTTRGGCACCACTGGTCGTCGCCGATRAATTCCCGAACGGTTTCTCCCGCGCCTCAACGACCATTGTGGTTTCGCGCCGGTCCGCAGTACCGAGAACGGTAATGGCGAAACTAACGACGGCGCAAACCAAAACGTACGTGGAATGAAAAAACCCCGAACAGCAGTGGCAGAGGCAGCGACGGTGTCGTCGTCGTCGTTCACGGTTTAACGCGCCGCGTGTGGGTCGCCGTCGTCCGTTCGGGTGCTGGCGACGACGGGCGAGGAGGGTCGGGCGAACTGGTTGGCACTACGGCGCAGGGGGCGAGCGGGCGGCCGGCGTGTATCGACATTACTCACGCACACATATATATAATAACGCTGGCGTACAAAATAATATTACACGTACGCAACGTGCAGAGTAATATTATTATTATTGTTATTATTATTATGTACAGTCGGGTGACGACGGCGGCAGTGTCCAAGGGCAAGCGTCTCGTCTGCTGCTGCTGCGGCTGGTTCGCTCGTCGCGGAGTGCACGCACGCACTCGCACACGCACGCCACGACGACCCGCCGGCGGCACGCACGCACCGCAGCAACATGGCGGCCGACCGACCGAAACGCCGCCGCTCCCCCCCGAAACCTGCTATCCACCCACCTACCCGAGCGGCGTTCGCGTGCAGCTGCCTGCCTATGCCGCCGCCGCCGCTAACCGAACGCGCTCCGTGACGCCGTGACGGCGGCAGCCCTTCGTCGCGGTCGCCGCGCCGCCACGGCCACCAGTTGTCATCCATGCCGTCGCCAGCGAGCACGCCGAGTGCGCAACGACGAAAACGCCGCCGCCGTGACCATTATCCGCTTCACCAACAACCATACTACAATCCTTATCCCGGCGCCGTCATATCGCTACCGGCAGACACCACTACCACTTCGTTGTCACCTGTGGCCCTAGCCACCGCCGCCGCCGTAGCTTCGAACGCCGCCACCACGGCATCGTCCACGGCGTCCGTTGTGGCCGCCGCAATGGCGATCGCTAACGAGACCAACATCGATCTGATTATGATCAACAAGATCAAGCAGCACCAAGTGCTTTACGACACGGACGAGGACCAGTACAAGTACATCGACAAGAGGGACAAGGCGTGGAAGGAAGTGGCAGACGAACTTGGCATGCCGGGTAAATTGATAAATATAAAAATATTTTGTCCCATCGTTTTGTATGATAGATCATAGTGTAGAGATTTAATTATTATTTCGATTGTATGCAATTATATTTATTTTAACTGAAGCGCGTTGTGCGAATTTTTGTGTTTACCCGCTGTTTCAACCCCGCAAAGATTATATTATAATTATTAGTGCGAGGATTTCGTGTTTTTGCCGTTCGCCGTTCGGCCGGAGAAATATGCGCGTTTGCGATCCGCGTCGACAACGGTGGTGGGAGAAACACATGTTGCAGGGGTTGTTTTGTAAGAGAATTAATAATAATAATAATAACAGTAATAGCAATGTACCCCCACCATGACGCACCGGTCGTCGCGTCGCCCTCGTCCACCAGTGCAACAACAATAATATTTAAGAGCGACGCGAGCGAAACACGGACGGGATTTTCGGTGCGCGTCTCCTTTGTTCGGCGTGTATGCGTGTGCAAACGACGACGGCGCGTCGTCCGCCGTCGTTGGAGCGGTACGTGCGAGCGACCGAACATGCGGTGTTGAGCGGTACTCGTTGTCTGGTAGGAGGAGGGTGGGGAGAAGAAATACCACAACAAAACCGGATGGGCCGAGCGGTTTGATGACCGCCGCACATGTATTTATTTATTACGCCCGCACGACGGCTGCGGTGGCGGACCGGCGCGCTCGCTCGCCAGCAGTGTCGCCAATCTCTTGACGCGCGGCGCTCGGCGTATACGGTGTGCGCAGGCAGCGGTGGCGTCGCTGGCAGTGGCGACGGCCGTCGGCGAAGGGTGAAAACTCCACCGGTTGCCGCATCGACTGTTCGGCGGCGGCGGCGATACGCGTCGGCAACGTCGTTTCTGTGCCGGAACACCGCCGCCTCACTCGGTACTCGCGGTGCTCTGGCTACGGACCGCCCGTCGCCTATACCTACATTTCTCAGGCCGCCGTCGTAGTGTTCTGGTTCTGCAGGTCGTGCCGTACCCTCCCAGCCGAATTGTTGTTCGGAAACCCCTTCGCGTCCCTCCGCCCGACACCTCTGGCCGCCCAATTATTCGTCCKGACTMGCCGACGGAGAATTGGCTTCGTGAACACGGTTTACCATTAGAACAGTTACCGATATTTGGTGTTATTGTTTTCACCAGTAACCGGACAGCGGCTTAGAACGACTTAATGATATTTTTACTATGACGTGACACGTCCATTATGATCGTACACGCTGGTGGTTTCAATGCTAACGGACGAATTAATAGTCGTGATGATACTAATATGACAAAAACAAACGATTTAATATGTCTACGAAGCTATTTCAATATTATTAACGACGTGTTCTTTCTTTAGATTCATCTTATCGCGTTTATCTAAACGGAGAGTTGTGGAAGGTCGTGAAATAATAATAAAAAAATAATAATAATGATAAATGTAAAGATACGTATGAGAAAATATTAATCGTTTCGTTTGTATAAATGCGGGTGAAAAAAAAACGATTGCCTCTGCTTTGCAACTGTGTTCTCAGTTAGGTATTACTGCATTTGAAAAAAAAACACGAATAAACCTATAATTATTACAATATTATAACTAAATGTCTGAACAGGTATAAATTTATATATATATATATGTATGAAAAATATATAAATTATGTAAATAGTTAATTTATTTTACTTAACTGCTGGTACTAAAACAAAAAATTGAATTAATCACTGTCGACTATTCAGATTTCAAAGGAGTTTATTATAGCCTATATGTTTTAATAATATAGTAGTACGAGTGTGATGAACACATGAAAAACTATAAAACGTTTGAATAAACTTGGAGAGAATATTAAAGATTTACATTTATTATATTGATTATGCATTTACGACCGGTTAATAAATAWCAATCTTTACATTTTTAATGCATAAATTACATCTGTAATTAACCACTTTGATGTTAGTGTTATTAACTTAAAATATAAATTTAACTTAAATATATTATATCATTTATATCGTACACCGTTAAATTATATTAATATACAATCGAGATTTAGGAGCGAGAATTTGCGTGAACGTCGAAAAATAATGATTTTATGTGAAGATCGTTAACAAATCATTAGATATTATTATGATATTGTGTTAGGTACGTCGTACGTCCGATAATAATATTATATTTTCGTCAAGTTTGATTTTATAATTYTAATAATAAATGCAAAAATTGCTGCATACGTTACAGAAAAAGGAAATATTGTTGAATTGCGCGTTCAGGTCGATTCAGGCATTCTGATGAATTTCGTAAATAATATTTACATAATACACAATGTAAATTCCAAACAAATATATCAGTAGGTAGAATATAATGTAGCATAATTACCCAATGACATGACATGTCACGTGTATACGCAAAACAAATTAATCGGCGATATCTTATTTACTATTTACTAAATTTTGTGTGTAACATTAATCAACGAATTAAGACCATCGCAAATAACCGTCACAGTTTAATTTAATTTGATTTCCGTAATGCCATTGTAATCATCTAAGTTTGCCTAAATATCTTTATGATGTCGGAGACWCCAATAACTATATTATAATAATTAATAAYATAAAGAATATTGTGATATTGTGTCCCCTACTGCAGATCGAAAAGTCCGGTGTTGGCGCGAGTGCCCATCGAGTATCACACATCTCATTAGCAAAAAGTTAATAGAACATTTTAAGTTTAATTTATACAATTTCGAATTTTAAACTTTTGACCTGTGTGTAGATATTTTACTTTTGTAATGTGTGTTGATAAGTACTTTTACATTTTTTCAAATATTCAAATATTTGCGATTATCCACTGATTYGCGTTAAAATATGTTTCTAATGTGCACACGTACTGACAGACGGCGATAATATAATACTTATGGCGGTACTTTTGAAATAGGTAGTAAACAAATATTTACCCTACGTCATCCACTCTTCGTTGTATATGCGTGGACAAAAAAAAAAAAAAATGTTTCATGACAATATTCTTCATCGTTTCCCGTCGGTATTTTTACTAAAAGAAAAAAATGTTGATCAGGTTTTTGTATGGCGTATGACACGTATGTTTATGTACTTATATTACTTATAGGCTTAATTTCTAAAATATTCAAATCATTTCTCACGTTCTAGATAGGGTGGAAGRTTCAATGCAATCTGTAATCTGTTAAGGTAACAATATCTTCGCGGATTTCGTGATTATCGTACTTATTCGAATTGATATTTTTTATTCTTTATTTACATTTAAGATTAGTTTGAAATAAGAAAATGTTTATTATATCGGATCCGTCTATTTGAGGGAAAAAATTAGAGAMATTTTTAGTTAGGTACCTAATATGAGAAGTATAGTAATATAACTGGTAGAATGGTAAAAAATCTAAATCAAATAATTTCAACGGCCATAAACTACATTACAGAAAAAATATCACTCCACTTAGAATGTTMAGCTTTTAATCATATTGTTTTTATTTGAAATAGGAAAACTATTTATAATGGGCTCTGATTTTTGAATAACGCCAGAAATATACATTTYAAAATATTCAACAATTTGTGATCATTAATTAAGCGTTTATTACAACGAATGATATTAGAATTTAAAATGTGGATGTCCACTGCGATTTGTATATAATTTTCATCTTATTAAATAATAAATGATTAAAATCTGACTAATTTTTATGGTAAGTTTTCTTTTACCATAAATTAACACATCGAATCCGACGCCCTAACTAAATTATTAGCTCAATTATTAGATAGGATGGTACCGTGTGAGCGGGGGAAAAAATAAATAGGTAACTGCACTTCGCATGAACTTTTTTGATGTAACAATATGTTTGTAATTGTAATGTATATTAATATATTATACACTGCGCAATGTGTTGGAGAGGTTTCTATTTTCGAAAATGCATTCTACGGAACGGAATTTTAGGTGGTATATATATTTTTTTTTGCAATATTGAAACGAAACATAACGACCGGTCGTGTTAWATCTTATATAACAGTACGGTCACTTAAACAGATTACGGAGTCGTTACGGATTTGGTGRAGTTTCTTCGAGAACTTATATAGATGCAATTCGCGTACATTTTATTGGTAGGTTCCTATACTGTAAAATTTGGACGACCTTGCATAATTATATACTCGGTATGCCTGTTGTCTATATACTTAGTTTTTTTTTATGGATTACTATTTACTATAGAGATTGTTATGGCTGTATATTGTTTGTCTATACTTTATAGTAATGGTGTACTTCAGAAGGAGCGCGGGTCGCGGAGAATATTCATTATTGTACGATATCATTTGCATAATATGTAAACTACCGTAATACCGTTTATTTTATTTTKTCTATTACCATTTACTTTTATACGACCTACGACAATATTTATCAAGTGTGATTGACGCGTATACATGTATAATCATATGCGTGCGCAGGGGGGTATAGGGGTGCCTAGGCATATCGGAAATTTTGTGATTGGGATCATAGGTTTCAGGTTTCTGGGAATAAGGATCGTGTTTTTAACTGATGTTACTAGAATAAAACGTTGTAAATTATGTGGTTGTAAAATATTAATCTTATTTCGTGATAAGAAATAGTAAAACGTATACATTTTAATTTTGCACGGAATAACTTGTTATGACAACAAAAGTATGAATAATAAATAATACTAAATGCAATTATTTTAGATAAGAGAGTGTTTTATTTAATTCACTTATTGACTTATTTATAATGTTATACAATTGAATAAAGGAAATCCCTACAACTTWATTGTTCTGAGGTTTTACCCTAAAGATTGCATGCACAAAAGCGCATATAAAGTCAAACTTATTATTAGCTACTATCGTATCTAAATAGAAAAATAATTATTTGGAAACAATATATYGTTAATAGAGCCTTATTTTAATTTTCAAATATTTCGGCTGATAGTATTTTAGACGAAATTATTTCAGCTATTATTAGGATAATTATTAATATTGTAATTTATATTTTGAATTTTCTATTAGTAAAGATATGATTATGTCTCACTATCCTTTTTGGAGTGTCCGTGGTCCGTCGATGTGTTAGTCCTAATTCATTGATATTAATGGCAAGTCATGGAAAACACAGTTTAAAGTTTAAGAAAAAAACGTTAACAATAATTGAACTCATGAATAATAGTTGAAAACGAATGATGATTAAGGGGATTGGAAGCGRTGATTTTCTGTCTTTGTCTAACACACGTGGAACATACAATACGCCTGATAAAAATTAAAGTACTTCTAGTTGCTTGATTTAAAATATGTAAAGATTTTTAARTAGGTAGGATACAAGTTTACTTTGCATCGGTCTAAGCATATTTTTAATATATTTAATAAAAAAAATTGACAATTTTATAAAATTTWAAATATTTATTCTTATCAAAATATTGCTACAATCGAAAAAGTGCTTCTACCGATTTAAAGTAAACTTGTATAGTACAACAATTAACACATCTTTACATATTTTAAATCGAACAACTAGAAGTACCTTAATTTTTGTTAAGCGTATTGTATGTTCCACGTGTGTTAGACAAAGACAGAAAATCACCGCTTCCAATCCCCTTAACAACTATAATTGTGTTTGTCTGCATCAAAACAGTTTATGTGGCTTGGTGAGGCGCGGTCGTACGCTCAATCTGGGGAAACGCACTGAGCGTACGTACTGGCCGCAGTTGCTAGCAACCGGATGGGTGACCACGCGGGATTTTTAGCAACATATCATCCTTGCCACACTTACACAAACTCGTGTTACAACCTTACTCACTTAAAAACCTACAAACAAATACACAAAAATAACCCCTACTGTACCACCCACACCCAATGGCTTATGTTGCCGTGGGTTCCCCTTACAATAAAAACATACAGTTTATACTAGTCACAATAAATTTATATATAGGCACCGTCATACAGAGATATTCATGATTCATCAGGAGTTCAAAATGCTATTTTGTTACTACATTTTACTGAGATATTCCCATAGTAAAATTAAATATGGCATGTGAAACTTTTTTCATTAATAAACGAACTAATGAATATTCTAWATTCATAATGCCATTGATTTTATATTATAATATAATATTTCATATTATAAAATCATTACGRCTCTTGTCAAAATKTACACATAGGCAAAATAACCTTAGTAAGGGAGTGCATAAATATTTCTAGTGTAATATTTGTTGTACAAAATACCGTCTGCTCAAATATGTCGGCTACAACACTGGGTCAAAATATTGTAGGCTTAGTTATGTATATATTTATATATTATACCCCCCGCACAGCTACTATACTTATAAAAGAAATTAAATGCTCTAGAAAGTCACGCTCCGGGGTTGACCGCATCCGTCGCGACTCGCGAGTCTTGAATTTTCAGGCTTTTATTTGTTCACAGTATAAGTCTATTGCGTAAAATTATGTACATTTTAATATTTGGTTGATTTAAAAAAACTATCATAATAAAATTGTGGCATTGGTGTTTAACTTTTTTATGATCTGCAGTGATACCACTGATACCTATATATAAATACTAATGCTGTGTGTGTACAACATCGTTATTAAATATTATATTCTGTCCACAGTTAACGATGTCAAATTGCGCTGGAAACGTTTACGTGATAATTTTCGAGTGTCCATCAAACGCACCAAAGGTTTGAATCTCAAACCCGGCCTACCGTTCGTCGAGGGCAAGCCTTGGAAGTATCAAAAAGAGATGGAATTTCTCTTACCCTTTATGCAAATCGGAGGGTGAGTTATTAATTATTTGTATAATATTTAACGCGTAGATACAGGGCACCAAATTCTGTTATATCTGAATCTGAAGTGCAGGGACCCCCCGGATACCTGGCTATTTTGAAATTTTGATAAGAATACTTATTAAATAATTTTTTAATATAGGTATATAAGGATTTAGTGTAAACATCGTATAAGGGATATTCGTATCGCACGTAATGAGTTTATTTTATTGGAAGTTTTGCGTTGGATCCGCAAAAAAATTTAGTTGTAGGGCTCCTATAAGTTTGATATTTGCGTGTCCCGCGCAGATAATAACTAGGTACATAATTATATGCGTACCGCAGTTTAACTTTGACTTGAGCGGCTCGAATGGCTCGATGCCTGACTGTAATGAATACAATAATATCCATTTATAACCTTGCGGCAAAGCGGCACCTGTGGATAGTTTAAAATAGAAGGAAAAACGATAACTACCGAAGCTGTAGAAGTTTATTGTTTGTAGGCCATTGATACGTGAGAAAACAAAATAGCGGGCGCCGACTTATAATCTTACAAACAATATAATGTCTCGGTCTGTGACTTTGAGGAGCGTCCTGTTCCCCTACCCCTCCCGTATAAGCCATAAGGGGTGCACAACAAGAGACATACATAGTAAGAATAGTATATGCTGTAAAGGTGGCTGTTACACAACTCACAACTGACGTACGTTTACTTGTAAATTGTAAATTGTAATTTACATAGAACGCGATACTGATACTCACTATGATAAAATATCAAAACATCTGAAAAAGACAACCAGTCAATCAAAAATGCGTTCGTTTTTAATATTAGTCAATAGCCATATAGTTACACGTCATAATTAAATAATAATATTTTGTTTTATGAGTTTTTTTCTTCGTCGTCGCAACATACTGCATACGTAATGTACGACCGCGTTTGGTACACGAAATGTTTAGATATCGGACTGTTTTGTTAGACATATATTATAAACATTTATGGTTAAATTTATTGTACCCATAAWATAGCAGATAGTTTTTATTATATTCGGTTAAAAATGACACTCGTGGAATTTGTGTCAATACGGATTATTCAAATGTTCGAGATGGCTTTTTTTTTGTTCTGGTCTTGTTAGTTGGCGAGTGACTGAGAACCTCTGAGTGCCACACATGATCTCGCTAACACAAATTTCAACTCGAGCACGTATCTATAAATATCGATTGCTGTGATCAACCGAGGATCAGCTGCTTCGACGATTGTTTACTGTACGTATATCGTCGGGTTTAAAAAATTGCACACATAGCAGCCAATTCGCACTTWGAGAAGATAAATATGTTATATACGAATCTATCTCGATTCGTTTTGCTGGTTGTATCGCATTAATGTATAAAACTGGTTGAAAATTTGTTCAATTGCTTCGTCGACAAATTATAATATGAATTAATGTTTGTTTTGGTTGCCTGTTGCCTGTTGGTCTCGGGACGTATAACTAATAAAAGTCAATCGCATTAATTAAAGAATTTGGCGTATACGGAAAAAAAAAAAGGTTATAATTACAGAATATGATTCATACTACCAGAATTTTTGGTTGCACCCGTGACAACAATATGGTTAGTTCATATTACAATAAATCTTTGGTAAACTGTATTCGGTTACTATTACCAAACGAGTTGTTAAAATAACAATACAGTATTATGCAGCGATTACTTATATGGTTGTCTCCACAAATAATCTCTGTTGTAGATATAATTAGCAGTTTGGTTGAAACAAAGATACATCTACAGAGAAAGTCTTTATAAGAATTTCGTTAATTTTTTGCCACATATTTTCTCGGAAATATACAAATTATTTTTTATATAAATAAATAAAACACATCAAACAAGGTATTAAAATATGTTTCTGAGTGTCTGTTATCGCGCTGCCAAAATAATTAGAGTCGCGCCTACAGAMGCGCGCTCTAAGGAATCACACTTTTTATTATTCTTTCGTTCAYATGTRTTACTATTAACTGCAGTATGGATAACGGATTGATTTTTCATTTAATTTTTTACAGGCTTGACTAAATTCATTAATAATGTGATAAAAATTTAAATTATTCTGTGAGGTCTATTTTAATACGACAATACTTTAATTTATCAATGATGTCTGCTAGTCTTTCATCGGTTAAAAAAGTCACCCTTTCCACCATATAAGTTACCTTCTAATTATTARKCTCTGATTATTTTTATTGCGGATAGATATACTTGGCCAATTCCGCTTTCTGATGAGGGATAATACACAACATAACTCAATAAAAATAGTAAATTTGCTATCAAAAGTGGTCGTAAAAAAATAATTCGACGGCTGGTGCGTAGTAATAAACTGTGTAAGCAATTGTGGCGCGTGTATMCCCSTTGAACGTGGGTTTTGACTCCTTAAATTTAATGTATACGTAAATGGCGGTGGTGGCGTTGCATGTGTRTRTGACCGATTACTTATTTTTYCCCTTGTTACAGGTATTCTCTGAAGAAAATGCTGAACTTGGAACACTCGCCCACCCAGGACTACGCGGGCGTGTACGACGACAGCAAGACGGACGGGTCGTCCAGCCCGTACAACAACATGTCGTACGACTACGACGAGATGCCCGAGCCCCGGGTGGAAATGAAAGAGATGGCGGGCAACTACTCGAACGACGAGGGGGGCGTGGACGACGAGCTGCTGTACCCGGACGTGGAGATCCTGAGCAACGGCAAGCACGAACCCCTGCACCGGGTGGCGAAGCGCGTCAAGCGGTCTGCGGAAGCCGCTGCCGCGGCGGCCGCCAAGGAGGCCGACTCGTCCGCCCAGCTCAAGCTCAACCAACACCACATGAACCACTATTACCATATACAACAGCAACAGCACAGCCACGCCAAGGTGCACCCCGTCGACCTGTTCTTCTACAGCATGGCCGAGACGACCAAGGGCTTGCCCCAGGCGTACCAGGCGGAAATCAAACGCCGCGTGCTCGAGATCGTGATCAAGGCCGAAGAAGAGATGAACAAAAATAAAAACTACGAATGAATGTGGTACAATCGACAGTCGACAGTATCCYCCTCGCTCTCTTACTCTCTCCTCTCTCTATGAATAAGCCTTTTCGCTTTTGTACCACTCTCTTTTTTATACTTTATGTATTATGATATTATTAGCGTTTTTGAAGTCATTAACTCGGAATTTTTTGGTTGAGATGTTGACCGTTTATCGTTCTCATATTTATTTTAAGATCAAATCGCTAAATTTATTATTATTATTATTATATGATTATTATTTTGTTTTGTGAATTCCAATTAACGTTCCAACAATGAATTCCAACATTACGTGTTGCAGTTATCGAACGGTCGTTATACGATGTCCTGAAACGTCCAATGCCAATTATTATTATTACACATCACCTTAGAATTAAGAGATWATTATTTATATTATTATTTTTAGACTCGTGGAGATAAATGACGGGTATATATTATATTTTTTATACTTAATAACGTGAATGCTGGGAAGCACTCTAAAAGAAAGTTTTTGTAATATAAACATTCCGAATTTCGCCACCAAACTGGCTTTGTGATAATAATAATGTGTTAAATATTTAGTACCTATGACCATATTACAAAAGTTATGCATTCCATTGTAGTGTACTTAATAATTATACAGTGTATTTCAATATTATTAGTGTAAGTCTGAATACTTCATACCTATTAAGCTCATGTAAAGATAATTATATATATTTTTGCTCAAACATTCTTTGCCTATACAGAGAATGTATGTACCAATGTTTAGTGTACAAAATTTACATGTTATGCATAGATTTAATAAGTAAGAACACTATTTATACCATGACAGACTTATTATAATTGTTTTTTATTAATGTATTAATTTGTCAGAAATTACAATCATTGTAAATAATAATAAAAAAAAAAAACAATATTAATACGAGAGTGAGTATTTGTTTCCTTTCTCACCCTTGTGTGTTTGTAATCTTTTCAAGTATTTTATAAAAGATAGAATTCTATATGTCTTAAGACATAAAAAACCTGAAATAAATATATTTGGGTTTAAAATTTAAATACTTATTTAGTTGTTTAAAGAGCCATTTTAATTACAAAATTACTTTTGGAAAACCACACAACTTGGCTGATTTGAAGATATTTAGATCTAAAACCTTAAATAATGTTAAATTTATTAATGTACACTTAGATGAACTAATGACTTTTAAARAACAAGACAATCTATGATAAATGTACGTTAAATGTCATATAATTTATTATTTAAATTTGATAATTGCTAACTATTTTGTTGAATAAAAAATGCACCATCCATTTCTCCTCTCCCTTGTTTTGATAAATCAGATCTCGCAAGAATATTTCCTCTTTCTCTCGCCTCCGTTTCGGACACACCTTACTACCTTCGCACTCATTTAAGCTCGGCCTAAATGATTCCCCCCTCTGCTGTCTGCACCTGCCATTGATACGAGTATACGACAACAAAATACGTGGATACGCAGTAAAATATAAAATAAATTCTAATCCAAGTGCATTGGTGCAGTCTTAATTCGTGATTYGGCCAGCCGGCAACTTTCCTGGTAACCCGGTTGGCCAATCTGCCGTTGTTTACATTATTTCGGAAGGCGAAAACCATTTTGAAGATATATTTTATTACAGCACGTGGTTTTTATTTAAAACATTTGCCTCCACACTTTCCCGGTGATAAGCAATATCACCACGGCTAAACATTGTCGTGATTATCATTAAATTATTGTTGTTATCAAAACGTGGTCGCATTCAAGTTTCGAAATCGAATGTTTTTTTTTTTGCTGCAATCCTATGACGGTAAATCCTGTCGACTTAAACGGCGGTTGTCGGACTCGTGCAGTCGTGCTTCCAGCGAATTGATGCCAGGAGATAGCTGCCTCTCGTTTATCAACTATTTTCAGAGCTTGGGCGGATTCTGTCCCATAGTGCCGTCATGACGACTGCGACGTGGTCGTGGACGACTCTGAAGCGACTGCAGTCCACCGACTTGAACGCCGAGAAGTTTTGGAGCGCTGCGACCGTGTGGAACGCAAAACCACACCTTTTGATCAAGCACTTGATGGGCTCCGAACGGCTCGTGTCTGAATCGTTGGCCGGCGAGTACGGTGACGTGTTGGCCTCAGTGGCAGCTACAGATCTACCGGCSGACGCCTGGGTAGGTGACCCCACGGAAACCTTTCGGCGGCTGGGCATGACTGGTGGTGAGGATATCCAAGCGGAAGTCTGGAAGCTGTTCACCAAGAAGCCCGTCGACTGGAACGATTATTTTCGGCTCAGCGTCTTCGGTAAGAGTTTATCAATACTTAAAAAAAGTTTAAACTTGARGATATGGTATGATATTATACTACCTATGGTGTTTTATAGACAGGCCGAATAATACCGCTGTGTTCTACGACTGTACGCCAAAGAAGAACGGCGACCATATCAAATATGCCTATGGCGTTAATATTGTGGATGACTGGTTGGAAYTACAGCTCGCCATGCCATCAAATCAAACTATGGACGACAAGAAGACACTGCACTGGATGACTGATGTTTTTTTTCCAAAATTTTTCAACTGGGCCATCAATGATAAAGGGTCTAAGCCCACAATTTCGTCATTGTCACACGTTTGTGTTCAAATGTACTGTCATTTRTATAGTCGGTTGAAGGAAAAATATGCCAAGTCCCTAATGAATGTATGTTCAACAATTTCTGTTTGTTTATCATTTAAAAGTATCATAAACCTAATCAGGTAAATTTTGTTTTTTTAGGTTTGGACWGAAGTAACTGATCCTAAGAAGTATATACATAAAGATATTGCAACAGCAACATACCTGATGCTGTTGTGGGGYGACACCAAACCAAGTTTTGTTGATATGGGATGTGGTAACGGTTTACTTGTGCATGTGTTAAACAGCGAAGGATATAACGGAGTCGGATTGGACGTTAGATCTCGAAAAATGTGGGCTCAATATCCACAATCTACAGTTTTGAAGGTATTGTGGATATTACACGATTTTATATACTTTAAAATTTTAAATGTACTTAGACATAAATAGTTATTTTTTCATTGTTGTTTGTAGGTGACAAGYGTTGATCCTTCTTCGCCTGATTGTAAATTTCCACAAGCTGATTGGATCATAGGCAATCATTCAGATGAACTGTCACCCTGGGTACCAGTAATCGCCATGCGTAGCAATTACAATTGTAAATTTTTTCTCCTYCCATGTTGTCCTTTTGAATTTAATGGTTCTCGCTACCAACGAGTAGATTCATCTCTTAGTCAATATCATGATTATCTGAAATACTTGGAAAAAACTAGTTCTAATGTATTAAAGTTCAACATTAAAACAGACCGTCTAAGAATACCTTCAACTAAACGGACATGCATTATTGGTTGGTCAAAAAATTATTTGCCACAGGAATTTGATCAAGTTGTACAGGATGTCGAAAAGTTTGTAAATTCTAAATTCAATGAAAATGTTCAATTTGTGCCCAGRCCGTCTGAAGAGAGGGTTAGAAATTGCACCAAATTAGATAAAGACTTGTTGCGTAGTGTGGTCGATACTGTAGCTGATGTATTGATAAAAAGTTCAGGTGGATGGAAGTGCCGCGTCACTCTAGGGGAATTAGCAAAACAAATTGGCGAAGAGAGGCTGAAAAAGTTAAAGAAAGAATGTGGTGGTTTACAAACATTGTTAAAAAATCACAGGTATATTTTTATGGTTGAGAAAGGAAGTGTTGGATTTAGAAAACCAGTAAAAGACTGTGGCAAAGTTTGGAAGAAACATAAGTGTTGGTTTTATCATAACTACCCAGATAAGTGTCCGTTAAATGAAGATGAGTGCTGTAATATACATTAATCAACAAATAATTGTTATGTTATATTATAAGTTTATTATTACAAGTTTTTGTTTGAGTCAAGTTTAAACTTCGACACAAAATTAACTACCTATATTTTTTTTGAATGTAGGATGTAGGAACTTAACCTCGTTTATATCTATTTTGTTGTCCTCTTACAATTACTTATTAACTAAAATGGAATAAAATTTATAATGAAAATATTCAACRCTTAAATYAGATARTTAAAAAATTAAATCATAATTGTTAAAAGATATATAAAACAAAATTAATTTTATAAACCATAAGAAAAATATTTTTAWTGTATTACATGTTTATATTTAATGGGAACACCTCTGGATATATATTGATGCGTTTATACAAAAGGTTCTTMTTCAAAATAAATTAATGATTTTCAAAAAAAAATTTCACATATTTTTATTACTTAGAAAATCTCAGGGAATGATTATTTGTTATAAATGGTGTATACAATTATTTTTTATACATATATGTTAAGTTTAGTAAAAAAAATACTGAAATGAAATAAATTATTTTTATATTATTTTATGAAATATAAAAATATGTTTTTTTAACAGCTGTGTTATAATACTGTCAATACTGAACTGTCAAATTACATTGTCTGTATATTTACTCATTACAAGTTTACTAATATTTCATTAAAATTATCATAAATAACAAAATATTGCAGGGAAATGATTCAGATAATCAGTTATTTATTGATTGGTAAATAAAAAACTAATGTTGATTAAATATGTTGGTTCAAGCTTATAATAGCGTTTTTAATGCCTTGTTAATACTGTTCATGGGTAGTCAGTAATATAATTATTTAAAATACATTTAACTATTATTTTTGATTTAGCCTGTTTTATAATCTAAATAAAATTGTATAACATGAAAGTAATCCCATCTAATCTATCAAACACGACCATAATATTTTTTGACCATTTTAAGCATATTATTTGATTTAATTTGTAATTGACATACTTTTTTTTTTTTGAGGTTAATTGTAATTACTAATTAGTGTAACATGAATATTTTAATTTTWAAAAAAATGTTCAACAAGATAAAATAAATAATAACTAGTTTCAGAATTACATAAATAATGTACAGCCAATGTACGTGATTCAAAACAATTTTAAATTAATAATAATTAACCTATAAATTGATATTGAATTAAATATTAAATAAAAATAAATAGACAGATATTCTAAACACACAAAATCGTGTTAATATATAATATATAAAACTAGAACATGAGCACATTCTATTAAACTAATTATTTACTATAATAATCAGATCAAATTATTGTCCTAAATTGTTAAACATAACTTAKGGTGCTAAGTATATATACTATACACAAAATAACTTACAAATAAAATAAATACTTGTATAGTTATCATATCACCATCACTACACAAAATGTATGAGTGTTGTCAAAAAAAATTAACTTAAATAAATAAAATAAAACGAAAAAACTGATATCTATTATAAATAGTATTGAAAATTAAAATTATTAAARTTTTTAATATTAAAAACAATACTGTTGTCGTATAAAGGATACGAGAAATTACATAACAAATGAAATTTCATCAAAAAACTTTGGCATTAATAATATCAAAATGATTAAAAGTAAATATAGTATAATGTGGAACATATATTTTTTKAAAGCTTACAGCTAAGAATTATTGCTGGAAAAAGATTGTTGAAGAAAATCGGTAACAGACCAAAATATACAATTGTATATTTTTTATAKAATTTATATTCTTCATATTTGATCACTTGATTGTATTTAATAATACCTAATACAAAGAAAGAAATCAACGAATACTTATGACTGTATCGCAATGCTAGAAACTGGTCGCGACAATTGAGTAATATCTCTGTACTGGGTGAACACACAGATCTAAAATAAAAATAAAATATAAAAATTATTCCAAAAAATTAGCATGTGTATAAGTTAAATAATTACCTTGTCTTTGAGTTGCTGAGCTAGCTGTAGAGCAACTGTAAACAGAACGAGGACTTCATTCAACCACGGTACAGTACATTCAGCTTGATACGTGTCATACTTCATTGCACCGTGAGAATTTGATAGTTGGTAAACAGCAAAAATTAGCTTATGACTTTGTATGTAAAAACTTATTGCCAAATCTTCAGGTAAGTTGGGCGTCAAACACTTCTGAAACAAACGTAACCATAGGCTTAGCAATTTCAATGCACGTCAAATTTTTCACTCCAGTAGGGCTACTTACCATGTTTCTGCTTTTAATCAAATCATCAATTGTTCGTTTACGTGGAACTATAAGACTTGTACGACCTCTTTGCAAACACCCTAATAAATTTCGCAGAATGTGTAATACTTCTTCTGAGGAACTAAATAAATTAACAAAAATGTAATTAGGTAAAGCCACATACTTAAAAAAAAATAAAATTTAAGTACTTGAAAATAGTTTCCTTGTCTATTTTATCAATCTGTAAAATAGCTTGTCTTAGATGATTGCCTGCGTCTTGAACTTGATGCAATTTCCACGGGCAGTCGTGACGAATATTTGTCCGGTACATTATTTGCTGCTGATGTCTCTGTACTTTAAATTGTATGTCCTGCAATAAGTTGTTTATAATTAAAATAAACTTTTCAAAAGAGAAAGTGATACAGGAACTTTTATTTTCAACCAAACTATAACTACTGCAGTAAAAGAGATGAACATTTTATAACTCATTTATTTATAAATATACGAGATTAAAAAAAAAAAAAATTATAACAAAATATATATATAGGTATATATATTTACACATGAAAAAATATTAATATATGTTGATAAAGTTAAAGTTCATTAACTATCAGTTAGATATGTAACATGCATACTACCAACAAATAATAATTGTAATACCTATTATATAAAGGTTTTACTAAAGTAAAAAGGTAGTTATAAGTTAAAAATTTAGCTAGACCAAAAACTTTTATGATTTCATGATTATTTTAATACTACCTACATAATATTGCTAAATGATTTGTTAAACAACACGACCTTGACAAGTTAATTATTAGCAAAACTATAAAGACCCACGACATATTATGGTCAGAAAACAATGACAGTTAATATACAGTAAATAGTATGACGGACAATTATTGGAGAGTGGCTAAGACTGGTAGAACATTTACCGCTTGCAGTATGGTGTCACCAGAAATAGATACAATGCTTTTCAACTGGTCTGGTGACGTGGACAGGACAAATTTTTCCTGTTTGACCTGGACGTCACTGTCCCATGATGGAAAACGTCGAACACATTCCTACAATGAAAGAGTTTAACAACAATTACATGGTGAATGTGGTGGACGACCCGTTACTTACGTTGAGTATGATGTTCAGCTGGTGCAATATGGAGTGCACCTCTTCATTTAACACCCATTCAAATTCTTTTTGCTAGAACGAAAAAAACGAAGTTATAACAAAATATTTCTACAATGAAGTATAAAATGTTTTTAAATTAGGACGTCAAGTGGACCAGTGGACAAACACTTACCAGACACTGGTGTTCCAGTTTGTCACCTTCTGCCATTGTTTCTGACGACGAACGGTCTTCTGTGCGTCAGTTTTATCCCGATGACTCTTGTCGACAGCGATCAGCTGCCACTAGAATTGTCCGCGGACGTCAGTTGTCGACGCATGCAGCCCATTACAAATATTGCAATAATTGAACAATATCGATCGAGGTCGGATGAYGGTTGGCGATATCCGGTAGGTACAAACTACTTGGTAATGCGGGAGAATAGATTACCGACGTCGGTTCATACCAACCCTGTCAGAGGTCGTCGGCTATTGGCGAGGAATCGCGACGTCAAAATAATTTTGAATGCGATAATATAATATTATTGTGGTGGATGGAACGGAAAACAATTTATGACGACACCATGACTGGCGAAATGCAAAGAATATAATGAATAATGATTGATCGCTCTYGATCGACAATCGACCCTCGATAATATTATTATGGAGTACGGTCGACTGTAGTGGAGTGCGGAGCGAGTGATAAGGGACGAAGATGAGCGTGCCGTTAAACAGCTGCTGTGATAAGTGATAAGATAACCGCGCCCGTATACCTCTACTCTTTACATTTTCATTCTTGTTACTCCCACTAATTACGGCCTCTTCTTACTTCGTCGATCTGCGTGGAGTCAGAACTCAGAAGTCGTCACTTTGTCAGTGCCCAGTGCCCCAGTGTATTATACTTATCTATGGCCCAGTGGCACGAATTAAAATTAATTGGCAAGAATTTGGAGGATATCGATATCACACCCGCTTATATATAATTCAATAATTGTGACTGTTTCACATAACGGCAAAAATACGACTTAATAATTTTGCGTTCAGCTATTCAAATGTTGTGTTGTTATAGATTTAATACAAGAGTGAAATTACCTTAATATATAAAACTTAAATGTAAGAGTATAATCTTACACTCGTTGGTTTTTTACAATATTTAAATTTTCAAGGATATGAGAATTTTTAAATTCTAGCATATTTCATACTCATAACTTGCCTAAAATTAAAATATCGTGAAAAAACAACGAAAAAATCATATAAATAGTGTTCTTATAGTGTTCTTTCAATACCTTCTAACTTGATATTAGCCATTAGGTAAATTTACTTTAAATGTGGATCCTTTTCAACTTTTCAACTTTAACCCCTCTTGTCTCATACCTATTATTTTATTATGTATAATATAATAAGTAGATATGTATTTTAATATTTAATTATTTTAATTATGTATCTGTGTAATTTTATAATTTTGTACTATTAAAAAAAAAATTATATGATTAGTGAAACACTTAAACCTTTATAATATTATATTATTTAWACACAATTTTAAATCATTTTAATTAAAATACTATAAATATATATAATGTATATAATGGACTTGCGGTGTATAAAAGTGATGTAGTATTATAGTCATCTAAACTATCACATTTCTAGCAAAACTATTTTAAGTGTTAGACATTGATATAAATTATTGTTATCTCACGAGAATTGGTTATTTACACTTACAACCTACCTATTACCTAATATAAATGTATTAATAATTATTGAATAATCAATGGTAATACTAAGCATTTACAGTCCCGATCGTCACTCGCTTTCATCAGCAGATAGCGCTGCAACTTACGATTTTAATTAGATTTTTTTTTTAAATTTAATTTTTACTTTATAATATGAATTTTTTATTATATATTACGATATATACAGATTTATGCATGAATGCAGAATGATAAGTTCATGTATTATGAGGGAATAACATTATAAATAGGGGTTACGTGAATAAGCATAATGCTATTAGTGGCACTTAGCTTGGGATTAAAAGGTTAAACAAAAAAATTATGTCAGGAGATATCAGTACCATTTTTTTTTAGTTTGTGGTGTGGATCTTCTGGGAATGTAGGTTATTTATGAGTGGATTGTGTTGGGTTTCTAGTATGGAAAAAATCATCTGCAAAAAAATTCAGCTTCAGCCTCAATCGGTTTAATGCCAAAGTCATTACGAAGGGTTAATATAATGACAAAGGGAAAAGCGTTTGTTAATTTGTTATTTTACGGAGTYTTATGTTTCAGGTTTCTATTAAATATTTTAATTTTAATTTTGTTCTGTTGTAGTTGTACTGTTGTATGTTGAGTATAACGAGTATAAGTAATAAGCATGTTTAGTCAAATAGTGAATCACTCAATCACATATTCACATATAAATATTATTATGTATATTTATTTTAAATATTATTAATTCTTACTGCGTGATTATACTTTGTTTACTTGATTGTTTTATACTTATTTTTAACCATGATATCATTATAAAATAAATTATTAGTATATACCGAGATTATGCACTACTATAGCTGATACGTCATTCCTAGAACATAATTATTGGAAATAGAACTAAACAAACAATTTAAAATGCCCACTTTATATTGTTGTCACTTATATTCATTAGTTCATTACACTTATGTAAACWCCGTTTATTTGAAGTTAAATATATTTCAGAGTTTTATTTAAAAGCATATTTAGGTCACCCTTAAAAAAAAAACAAAAATGTATTGGTTCAGTATTATTTGTTTGTTAAAACACTCGAAATAGACTCTCAAGGGACCAAAAGTTAAAAAATATTGTGATATATAAATTGAAATACAGGGTAAAAAATGTTTGTGTAAAATTTGATTACATTAATATTTTGTCAAATTCTAAAATAAGTCTTTTAAAATTAATATGGTATTTTAATAAATAAGCGGATATGAAATTATCAACTGAGATAATTTATGAAGAGTCAGGACTGTTTTGTTGTTGTTGAATGGTAAGAAAATAGCGTAAGTGTAAAATATTTAAATATCATTAAAATAAAAGAGATTGTTCTAWATTATAGGTTATTCCAAAATATGTCCTATAAAATGAATTTAGTATACATTTTATCATAATATTGGTAGTGCAACTTTTAATAAATATAGTAACCTGAGCATATGATTTAGACCCGAAGTGGTCTAAAGTGAGGGGAAATATAGTACAATTGATTGGCGAAAACAAAAGGTTTATGAAATGATTTTGATGAATCGGTCTTGCAGAGGTTTACACCGATACATGCCGTGGTGTACGCGCATATGGCGTAGGTACATCATTATGATTATGATGTATTGTAATACATTACATGCACCTAACTTATAGCCGTTATGCTGCAGCGGGTGGCGGGTCGCTATAGGTACCTATATATAGAAATACATATAAAATATGCGAGCGCGTGTGTTTGATCTGAAATTTAGTAAACCATATATTCATTGATTTGTTTCTATTGTTGTTGTATCCTATACCTACTCTTATTATTGTTTCCAACTGTGGACTTTGGTATGGTATAATATATAGATACATTGTATATTTGTATTTTATTACATTTAATTCGGCGGAACCGAAAGCAATTATTCAAACAATCAGTATACACTTTTTGAACAACAAAATACATAACAGTACGCAATTACATGTCCCTTGGCATACCTGCCTCGTTCCTGTTCTATACCTTCTCAATAACACACCATCATAGAATATCATACGGTTTAAATAACCCAACCGATCGCATTGCACGTGAATACAACCACGGTTCTATTCGCGAATAGAAAACTTCGAAATATTCAATTTAAAAATCCCGTCATCCTTAAAATTATAAATTTACGAGCCTATATATGTATATGTATTTCTTTTTTTATGTATCATAATATTTCTTTGAAAATATTAATACCTAATTAAGTAATTTAATTATTTTATTACATACTAACTGATTAATGTATGTATATATCCTTATAGGTATTTTACTTGCGCCTCCACAGGCGTTTAAACAAACAGATAAATAATATACATACATACATCTGCTGTCTGCTGTCTATAAGTAAGGTAGATGTCTATAATTTGTTTGTATTAAATTTTTTWAATTGTCCTGCGGTCCCTGAACTTATAGATATTGCACATTGGGTTTACGATATGGTATTGAAACATTTAGTYATAACCAGTGGTTGAATTGGAAAAAAATATAAAGGTGGACTCTAAATAGTCTTAATGAAGTTTAACAATTAGGCAAATTAATTTAATAGTAACCCTATTCCTTGATGAATATAATAAAAGGGTATGCTATAATTTGAAGAAAAATAAAGAGTAGCTCAGCCCCCCTGCATCCTCCCCCAATTCAACCACTGGTTATAGCCTTATAGCCTATAKGYTAAGGACTAAGGCTCTAGCCTATAGATAGATATGGATAAAATCACAGCGTGTTATCAATTTCAACGCTGCGGAAAACTATGTTTAAAAACAAACTAAGTACAATATTTGCGTTACACAGCATATTAATTAGGTACTATAGTAACTATAATACCTAATATTAACGTTATATTCGTATCAAAAGCATCATATCAAAAATCTGAAATCAGTCAACAAAGAGTAATAGAAAAAATAAATACAGTTATAACTTTCTAAGTTTCTTGCTCAGAGTGATGGATCAAAGATGGAACTTTTAAGTCTGTAAAAATGTTTTTTATACTAACTATTTTTTTYWATTTCTTTATTCAACTAATTCCATACAAAATGGTAGTTTTGGAATTGTTTTACCGTAGGTACCTATGCCACTTTAGTAGTAAAAAAAAATCCACGGAAAAAAAA